GTGTGTGTGTGTGTGTGTGTGTGTGTGTGTGTGTGTCTGTCTGTCTGTCTTAGAGCTGTGCCCGTTTGCTCTGTGACTGTGGGCAGGCCCCTCAGCTTCTCTGGGCCTCAGACTCCCTGGGTTCAAATGCTCAGGGTAAACTGCTGTGAGGGACTCTGCCCAGTGAACCTGAGCCTCCGCATCCCAGTGCCCCTGCTGGGACCCTCCCCCTGCTGAGTGCTGGAGGGACCACCCAGGAACCACTGCCGCTGACTTGCCTCTGACTAACAGGGACCTCTTGGGGTAGGCCAGGGTTCCCCCGAGGGTCTCCAAGGCTGGACTCAGAGCCAACTGCCATGCCTTCCCTCTCGGGGCAGCTGGTAGAAGTGAACCCCTGCCCCCCAGGGCTCCTCATCCGACTGCCATGTGCACTTGGACATCCTCTGTGGTTAGGGCCCACGTAGCCACCCTGCCACTCCAGGGACCCAGTTTTAACCAGGCCTGCTGCCTCCGTTCACCCTGTCCAGGGTTCACAGCCTCCTGTGGCCCAGGCAACCCCAGCCCTGGTCTCGGTGGAAGCAGACAGACAGACCCCTTTTCCAGGGTGGCCATGGCACCTCTCTGCCTGGTTCCTTGGCGCCTCTCCCATCTCTTGCCTGCTCTGAGAAGGAGAGGAGGAAAGGGGAGGAGACTGGAGGGGAGGCCTGGCATGTGGATGCCACGGGTTGCAAGGGACCTTCAGTGACCAGCGCTCACTACCCCCAAAGCCCCTGCCCTGCTGTGCCAGTGTGGCCGTTTCATTGTTGCCACCTGAGTCCGAGTGGCAGGTAGCTGTGAGATCTCCGTAGCCCAGAGAGAAGGGTGTCGTGGTTACCTCCATTTGACAGGTGAGGAAACAGGTTCAGAGAGGTGAGGCCCCTTGCCTGAGGTCACCCAGGTGGACACAGCAGGGCCAGGGCCAGAGCCCAGTCCTGTCTGGCTTCAGGGCCATGCCCACCTCCTACTACTCCCTCCATGCACCCTGGCTCCCTCAAACCCACAGCTCCTAGCACACCTCCTGAGACCCAGCTCTCTGCAGAACTCCCAGCACTGGCAGCCTGCTGGCTGCCTGGTATCCTGGGTGCACATGGGTCCCCCACCTAATGATGTTGCATCTCTGTGAAGGGTTCCCAGGATCTATGGTCCCCATTTCTCTCTGCCTCGGTCTCCATTTTGCCCTTCTCCACCTGCTTTCCCTGTCTTGCTCCCCATCTCCCCTCTCCCCTGTGGCCCTGTTTCTCTGTCTCTCTCTGGGATGCCGTCTCTCATCTCTGCCTGTCTCTGTAGCGCCCCGACCCAGAACCAAGGGCCTTTGAGTCTTGTCCAGACTCCACCAAGGCCAGAGGCCTGGCCTTGGAGCTACTTCAGCTGAAAGCCCTAATGCTGAGTCTCTCCTCTGTCTGTCTGTCTGTCCAGCGGCCCACCTGCGGCTACATGCTGTGCACGGTGCTGCTGTCGCTGGCCGTGCTGCTGGCCCTGGCTGTCACCGGCGCTGTGCTCTTCCTGAACCACGCCCACACCCCGGGCACGGCGCCCCCGCCCGTTGTCAGCACGGGGTCTGCGGGGCCCAACAGTGCCCTGGTCACCGTGGAGAGGACCGACAGCTCCCGCCTCAGCATCCTCATCGACCCACGCTGCCCCGACCTCTCAGAAGGGTTCACTCGCCTGGAGGGGGCCCAGGCCTCGGTGCTGCGGGCGCTGACGGACCACCAGGCCGGGCCGAGGCAGGTGGGCGAGCAGGAGCAGGCACTGCTGGACACGCTGGCCGACCAGCTGCCCCGGCTGCTGGCCCGGGCCTCGGAGCTGCAGGCCGAGTGTGTGGGACTTCGCAAGGGCCACAGCCTGCTGGGCCAGGGGCTCAGCGCCCTGCAGAGTGAGCAGGACCGTCTCATTCAGGTAAGGAGCTGGCTGGGCACCTCAGTGTCCTGGGAGGTGGGCGTGGGGGGCATAGGGCTACTGTTGCTTCGTGCTGGCCCTGCTCTGGGCACTGATATCCACAACTTCACGGGCTCTCTAAGTGCTGGGACACTGGACAGGGGTTATTCCCAGACAGCGGTGAGCAGCAGGTGAGGCCAGAGTGGTAGCATCTCTTATCCCAGGCCACACAGCTCCTGGGGAGCAGTGCTAAGACTCGAACCCAGCTCCTCTTTCCGCCCCTCCCTCCCCGCCCCCCCCCCGGATGTCCAACAGTCAGACAGAACCCAGGGCTGGGGAGGGGTGGCCTTCCAAGTGCTCCATGCCCCAGGTAAGATGCAGGAGAGGAGCATTGCCCCACCCATCAGTGGACGGGAACCTTGAGGCTGGAAGAGGGAGGCACTGGTCAAGGACACATTGGCAATGTGCTGAGCAACAACTGCCACCACCACCACCCCCCCATGCACACACACGGTCCCACGGGGCCAGACAGAGCTGCGCCCCCCTCCTTTGTGCCCTAGTCCACTGCCAAGTGATGCCCACCACTCTCCAGGCGAGGAGAGACCAGTGGAGAGAGGCCAGCAGGACCCTTCTCCGGTCTACACCCTCCCCACCTCTACACTGCATCAAAAAACAAAACCCCCTTTATGTGAGCAGAAAGCCTCATCTTTCTCCCTTGGAGCTGGCTGGTGGTTTCGAACTGCTCGCCTTGCAGCTGAGCATGTAGCCACTCTGCCACCAGGGCCCCAGCCCTGCAGGCTGACTCTTTGTGCTGGCTGGCTGGTGGAGTTCTGGCCGCATTAGCTGGGTTTCCGCTGTTGGCTTAGAGAGCACGCGCCCTCGCCAGGAAGTCTGCCCTTTGCAGAATCAGGGCTTTCGGATCATCTCATCTCTCTTGCCCCATTTTCCAGAAAAGAACCACCGAGGCCCAGATAAAAACTCAGCTCACTGTCATCGATTTCATTCCGACTCCTGGTGACCCTCTAGGACAGGGTAGAAACCCCCCTGTGGGTCTCCGAGGCTGTAACTCGTTACAGGAGTAGAAAGCCTCATCTTTCTCCTGAGAAGCGCTGGTGGTTTCGAACTGCTGTTCTAGTGGATTGCAGCCCAGCGGGTAACCATGACACTACCAGGGCTGTGAGAGGGGTGGTGATTTCTTTAAGGTTCAGCGGGAGGCTCGCCTGGAACCTCATCTCCCGTCGCCCTGCCCAGCCTCTCTCCTTGCCCCCGTCATCCCTCTGACTCAGATCCCCAAGGACCTTGAGGCCAGGCCCCACTCCACACGCCCCACCAGTTCCTGCCAGCCCAGCTGCCCAGCCCCTTCCGCCTACCCCCCACCCACACCCTCACCAGGACGCCCAGATGACCAAGCAGTCCGGTCACCCAACAGCCTGTGAGCAATGGGCCTTTTCGCTGCAGCTGCAGCTGGAGAAACAACGGTCTTCATCACCCTGTCGGGGTGACTGATGGGGATGGCAGCTTCCTGCTCCCGGGGCGGGGGTGGGGAGGGGGTGTTTAGCTGCCCTTCCCGCTGCCCCCTCCATCTGCAACTTCCCCAGGCTCAGCAAGCTCAGGGAAACCCCGCCTCGCTCTGCAAATGCTAAGCCTCAAGTCAGCTCAAACCCAGGCCACAGATGCTCACTGTTAACGCTGGGCGGGAGCCTCGGGGTCCCCTCACCCATAACCTATGAAGAGGCAGAGAATGATTTCTGAAAGACTAATGGCTTTTCTGGGGCGCTGGAGTTCTGCGGCTCCCCTGATATATTTACTCCTCGAGAAAGGTCTGATTTGACTCACAGACCCGGGATGACTTCAGACACGATTTGTCTTTGTGTCCCGCTCGGGGGCAGCCAGCCGAGGCTCCTCACACTCCTCCAAGCTTCCCAGCCTCTCAGCCAAGAGGCCTGGGTTCTCCAAAGATAGGCCCGTGGGTACCCAGGGCAGAAGTGCCCTTGTGCT